GCGGGCGCGTGGACAGACCGCGCGGGTGCGCAAAGCGTACGGCCATCCCACGCATGCGCGCGCACACCTAGGTGCGCGGTTGGTAGCCCGAATTTGGGAATTGGACCCGAATGGACCCGAGAGTTTCTGAAACCCTCGTAATGCGTGCCAACGGACCCAGAAAAGTTTCGGACCCTAAGGAAGGTGAAATCCAACCTGAAGACAAAGAATGAAGCCGAAGAATAAAGAACTCGAGAATCGAAGACCTGTTGATATAACAAAAGAATATAATTATTGTAATTATCTATTTATTCGATTTGATTGAGTTGTAATTTATTTTTCCATGGGACCCAGTCAAATCCATCTCAATAGTCGATTACATATATTTATATTTTATGTTTATAATTATATATTATATGTCCTTGCATATAACATGCCATATAGATATAATGTGCCTACTCATATGTTTTATAACATGCCATGCATATACGCGCATTAGTTATTATTTATTTTATTTATTATAAAAGGGTTTTAGAAAAATAAAATAGAATAAGAACCTTGCGCTAAAAATGATTTAATATGATTAAATTGATTTGAGTTGCAAAATTGATTTGTAAAATAATGTTTCATGTGAAATTGAATTTAAGAGTTAAATTTTAGAATTTCACATATTCGAAAAATGAATTGTTTATTTTTTAATTTGAAAATAATGAGATGTTTTTCAAACAAAATACATATTTACAAAATAATGAGTGGGAGAGGGTTGTCTGACAATACGACTCACTAGTCTCCGCCGTTAGCACAACACCGTGAGATCCGGAAAGGGGCTTTGCGGCGACACTGAATCGCCCTCCTAAAGGAGAGTGTCCTTGCCGGATCAATAACAAGGTTGGCTTCCTAGAGATAAGATTTCAAGATGTATTTCTGAATTGACTACCCAATGGTAGCAATTCGGAGTTAAGTCTATGGGATCTGTAACGGTGGGTCACACTCATAAAATATAATCAAATCTGTTGGTTATATTTTGACTAAAAATAACGGCAGTTAATAAATATGAAAATATGAGATATTTTGACTATATTTATTAATTGAGAAGAGTCTCGGTCTATTTGGCATATAACTTGACTACCCAAATGTACACTTTATAGGTGGAAAATTAGATTATCGTTGGCACCTAAAATTAAAACATGATTTATGTATTTTTCATGTGCTTCATGCATCATATTTAATTGTGCCAAAATTAACATGCCTTGATATTGATGCACATAAATTAATTAGATGAATATTCTATTTATTTCCAGCAATATGTCAAATCCCATTATCACACTACTAGCGACTGAAAAATTAGACGGTGATAACTATGCTAAGTGGAAAAGTAACATGAACATACTATTGGTCTGCGAAGACTACAAGTTTGTCCTAGTAGAGGAATGTCCTCCTGAACCCGCGGCTAATGCATCTAAAACCGCAAGGGAGCCTTCTATTTACTGGATCAAGGCCAACAACAAAGAAAAGTGCTTTATGTTGGCCAGTATGAGCGATGTGCTTCACAAGAAGCATGAGGAGATGAAGACTGCTTATGAGATAATAGAGTCTCTAGAAGCCATGTTCGGCGCTCCCTCTGAAAAGGCTCGTTTGGATGCTGTTAGGGCTTTCATGAATGACAAAATGAGAAAAGTGATCACCTCTATGATGCGGAGCTCAATGGTGCCAGGATCGATGAAGCCACCCAAGTTGGCATCATCTTGAAAAGCCTATTGATAACTCACAGAAATAGAGTTATTTAGCATACTTTTAGGCTTAATATTTGTTTATATTTTATTTAGCATACTTTTAGGCTTAATATTTGTTTATATTCTCCGGGTAAAATGCCTTTGTTGTTAGTATTTTGAATAGCATTTATTAATCTTTTTCCGTGTGGCAGAAAGTCGTTATTTATGGGAAATCTTGCTATATTTTGAAGTTATTCCTAAATTCAACTCATTGCATTGACCCTGGGAACTTAGTGCATGATGTCCACAGGAGGTGCTGACGTAGGCTTTTGGTGAGAAAAGCGCGGTGGAAAACACAAATGTTGAAATGCCCCCAATGCCATAGCATTGCTGCAGCAAAGTCGCAGCAAAAGCAGGAGCAGCCAAAAATTAGCAAGCTGGCGCAGTTTGTCTTTTAGCGCTGGTAGTGGTTCAAGCACTGACGGGACAGCTGTAAGAGCACCAGGAGGGGGGACCATCAATCATGACTCTCATGCATACACTTGTCACTAGGGCACCTCAACATGCCCTAGTATATAAAGGAAAAGGAGAGTATAGTACAACAGCGAGAGAAAGGAGGAGAAAAAAATCAGAGGAGGCGCACA